ATGGGGTAGAGACTTTGGCAATCATCCAGGTAGGAGATGATGGTAGCTTGGACCAGGTTTGTAGCAGTTGACATGGTATCAGTTGAACCTTGGTTATATTTTAAGAACTTAGAGGATGTCCTGATGCTTTGGATGTGTGGTGGACAGTGAAGACATACTGCTTCTGTTTTTCTCTTCCCTTTATGATAAGTTGGTAAGATATGGTGGAGGATACTTGGCTTGTATCTGAGTGGGGTTGAGGAATTAGATCAAGGAAGATGTCTTTACAGCTGTTGGAAATGGATAGGCAATGAAGGTCACTGCTGACACCTGACATGGAATTGTCTCTGGGCACTCTTCTCAGAGCAGATAGGAGAATGCAAAGAAAGCAGTCTGTGGAACTGCCCAGGAAACATGAAAAGAAATTTTTCTGTGTTCTCTTCCTCATCTATTTTCTTTTGAAGTTTAACATTCTTATTCTTCAACCTAAAATGGCTGCGTCTTTCCTAAGAAGTGATTTAACTTCAAGCACCCAAAGCTACTTCTATTAACTGGCCATTTCTAACCCTTCACCTATCCAGCTTTCCCCCGCCTGGGGGCCCAGGGCCAGGTAGCACATTCCCAGAACACTCATACATAATCCATGAAGTCTTGAGCAGACTCTGAAAATGGCCCAGGGCTAAGAGATAGGAGGCTATATGGCTACTAACGCCTCAAAGAGCTTTGGATGGGGACAGAATGATACAGGCATGAAAAGGTTCCTTTAATATTTTCCCCATGCACATCATGATACTAATGATGTTTTAAACATGTGTTTATTGTTTGGCCCTGTCCTATTAATGCATTACCTCATTCAGTTCTCACATTAGCATTTTGAAGAAATCACTATTTTCTATTTTTTATTGATGAGTTAAATGAGGCTTAGAGCAGATTTACTTGCCCTGGTACCCCAACTAGCTGTTGGTGAGGCTTAGATTTAAACTCATCTGTCATTTATTAGAGATCTGATGCTCTCTAAAATGCTATGCTCTGTACTCAATTTCATACTCTTTCCCTTCTATATTCCAATTCATGTACTCTCCACACAGAATATTTTGTACATTTTGATAACTTTTCTTTTCATAGATGCTTTTTTCCTGCGTCAAGTTAACTTAGAAAAACTAGATATTTTCAATGAAGAAAACTAAGGAAGAAAGCAAAGCACAATCTAGTTCTGAGGGTGAGAGTGTTTAGACAATATAGGATCTTCCATAATATATATTTTGATAGCCAGTAGGGAAATACTAGGACTGCTTTTGTTTTTAATATTATTTTTAATATTTTTAAAGAAAAAAGCAAAATCAAATCTGTCACATATTAACCACACATACAAAGGGTATGATTGTATTAAACTATTCAGTATAATCAGAACAACTTAAAAATACTTAATTTACTAGCTACAAACTTTATATTTATTTATTTCTTATATACACAGAATTTTTGCCTATTTTATAACACACAATCACTGACCTTATATAGAGCTATTGTACATTATTCTTCATTCGTGCTTAGCCCTAAGGGAAATTATTACAACATTATTCTACATGGCCTGTGTCATGCTTCATTTCCTTAACTTTTAGAATGTTATCAGCAACAAGTGGGATCTCAATCTGTTACTGTTAAAAGTATGAGAAATTGTAACTCTCCTGACTTTGCATTCCATGGAATAATTTACCAGACACTAATTAGAAGTTTTTTGATGTAATTCTGCTTTAACAAAATTCAAGTTAAAATCTGAGCTGGCTAGCATTGACTTTTTTCATATTTATTTTGTGCTTCTGAGGTTTGATGGTAAGCTTCTTGGCATTCTTCTGCATGCTTTGTAAGCACGGAGGTCACTTTGAAGTTGGTCGGATCTCTGTTGATAAGAGATTGGCAGGATCTGGAGAAGAATACAGATTTGGCTGCAGGGTCAGAAATGTCATGTTCATGAAGTTGGGAGATGGAATAATGCAGCAGAGTACTAAGCTTGCTAAAAAATAAAAGATGTTAGATAAGGTTCTATAATAGTTGTGTTTGCTTTAATATTTTCCTATGCAGATAATTTCAAAAACACTTTTTCCAGATGCAAAATAATGAAAATACAGCCTTCATTATGTATTTACTTTGGTCTTTTAAAAAATACTTAAAATGATGCAAGTCTTTTTGATTCCCTCAGACTTTTCTCAAAATATTTTGTATTTTTCTGTTGCTGACCTAAATCCAAAATATCCTAGGATGTTTTAACCATCTGCCTATTATTCCTAGTCAGTTTTAACCTTCAAATAATGAAAAAGATTTGGAGTGAACTTTCACAGCAGAGGGTAGGGTGAATTTTGGAGGTAAATTATTCCAAGCTCTGACACATGTGAACATATCAGCATGGCTTTATTTAAAGTGACCTCTATTGGATGATTTCCATGTGTATTATTCCATAATTCTCAGTGTCAAAATTCAGACAAAAGGGCTAAAATCCTCTCTCTTTCACATTGTTCTCATTTTATTATTATTTTTTAAACCTTAAAAATTCTGCTTCATAACTTTCCTGTAAGGTCATAAATACCAAGTGAATGATGTCAGTTTTCTTGGTGCCATCTGGACCTAAGGTATTTCTGTCACACTCGAAAGGTGAAAGTTGGTAAGCACAGCAACAACAAATCTCCTGGAAAACCCCAAACAAACAAACAAACAGGAACCAAACAAAACAGCAGATTGAAGCAATAGTTTTCTTTAGATGTCTTAGCAAATTATACTACATTTTCCTAGCATATGAAGGCCAGGAATTAGGTTTTTCAAACTGCATTTGGTGGTGGCTAACTACGGTGAACCCGAGAGCCAAACTTCATGTTCATGGGCTGCAGCTGAATATGGCCCTATGTAATTAGAATGTTAATTAATGCCAGTCTCAGAATCATTTGTAAATTTAAGAAGATAATGTTTGCTTTAAAATATGAGACTTTTTTCTTGACACTTTCACATTGTAGGATAAGCATTTACATGTTTTGGAATGAACATTTAAAAAATTATATTCAACAATTAAATCCTAAATAACGATACATTTCTCATCACAAGCATGCACCCAAGCTTCATAGATTTTGTTGATCTTTCTGTGGCTACTGTGTAACAACCATTTACTATTTTAGCATTCGGTTTTTAATTTAATTCTTTGAAGCTGTTACATACATTAGGATGATTGTATTTGCACACTTGTGAGTGTATATATGTGAGTCTGCTAATTGGTACAATCAGAAGAAATCAGCTTAAACACATGGTGGAGGTGTATAGATTATTTTTTTTAATACTTTGTACTAATTAGATATTTCTGGCTTTGGGCCCAAAATAGGAAAGAGGATTGGAAAATTTAATGTACTGGCAGCAATGGACCATGATTTTCTTTTGAATAATTGCTTTTACCTTGTTCTTCATAATAGTTGGTTCTGTATTAGTGGAGGCATAACAATCCAATAAAGCATTATAAGTAATTAGTTTAGCTGGATAGCTTTAACAAAAATCTAACTGAATATTTTAAACTTTCTGAAAAGTTTGTATTGTACATACATGTTCTCAGGTTTCTGCTTTTTTGAGCAAAATTGACAGTATCTTTAATTCAAAGAAATATTTATAGCACTGAAATCTACACTTAAAGTGTGCTTTTTTTGTTATAGCTCTCAGAAATATGACAGTAATTTTTTTTTATAGTAAATAGATGCTTCTTTAGGACCATTAGCTCATTTCTTTCTGGGGGATGTCTGAATTATTTAAACAGACGAAAGCTCTCTGTGGAAAGGTGTAAATTATGCTCTCGTTTGCATGGTATTAGTTCACATATATCCAAACTCTTATTCTACTTTCTATTCTAACAGTTGATTCACCTTTCTACACATGTTTATTAGTACATATGGGTGTACATTGACTTATTTTCCAAGGATTTTCATTTGAGTCGATTTTCTGATACTTTCCCCTAGTTTTTACTCTTATTTCCAATGGAGGGAGAGGACAGGAGAAGGACGCTGTAAAATTGATAAAGTCAATGTCCGTCTTAAGCTTTTTCCTTGACTTATGGGGATAAGCACTTCTTCCTTTGGAGCTGGTGGATGTTCCTGTCTGCCATCATAATTATGAATGACTATCTTTAATTCTTGCCTAAAAGTTGGTAGCCAGTTTCAGAGACAAATGGGATTCTTTCCTTCTTCATTAGAAGGCATCTTTAATGTTTTATAATCTGACTGTTTTCTAAAATTTTTGAAAAATATTTATGAAAAATAAAGTAAAGAGGATCACAGGAGTTTGTTTTGTCCTTTTAAGGACAAAGTAGTCCTAACTTGGACTCTTTCTTAGCTTGGTACTTTATATAATGGTCAAAAAGTAAAGGATTATTTTTTTTTCTTTTGAACCTATTTTGTCAGAGAAAATAATAAAGAGAATGACATGTACAGCTGTCTAATAATTTTACTAGATTTCCTTTCCAATTACATTTCATGGAGAAAATCTTTAAATCTTTAAAATTTTTCATTCTACAAAGTGAGTTCATTTGAGCAAAAAATTTCACTAATTCCTATTCTTCGAGGCGATTTTCCTTCATTCTAGTGGGAAGATGAGTCTTTTTTTTCCTGTTTTATAGCTATAGATGAAAATGTTTCATTTATATAGATTTTGTTTTTATTCACTCACAACATTTTATTTTTAAAGCTTTTTTCATCTCTTGGAAAAATCATATGTTACTTTGTGTCGTAAATATATAATTGCAATTTTTAAATGAGAAAAACTTTAGAAGTATATTTCAAATCTATTTTTAGTTTGTTGATGTAATAATTTAGAGTTTTCAAAGAATAAATGGATGGCTCATTTAATTTTTGAGGGGTCAAATATCTTAATAGTGTCTTTGTTACATTTCTATTCTACCTTCCTCAGTTGAAGCCCGGCTGCCCAAAATTGCCCTCTGTTTCCAGAGAGTAGGTAGGACAGAACTTCTAAACAGGAGAATAGGGCTTAAATTTTATAATCTGCTTGTTTATGAAATGAATTTAGGAATATTCATCCACAGAGGTATAGGGTGAATTTATGAAACTTGATGTGGTGGAGGCAGATTTGGAATTCCTGTGGGAGCAACCACTGAAGCTCGGATCTCTTGGAGTAGCTCTCTTCTTCCGGCTGGATTTGGTGTTGTCTGCCTCGCTGGGCTCAAACTCCACTGTCATGGACTCCATCCTGGTCACCGTGTACAGGCTGCTTTGCTGGGTGGGGAGAAACCTGGTGGTCTTGAGCTCCAGCTCCTCATAGCTAGAAACCTCAATGAAAGGACACCAGCGGAAGGCTCTTTTGAAGCCAGCTCGAAATCTGAAGAGAAGCAGGCCACAGAAAGAAAAAATCACGTTTTCAAGTGGAAATTCCCTTCAACTGTCACAGAAAGCCTACTTCAGGCAATTAAACAAAATCAAGTTTTGAATTTGCCAAACTCTTAAAATGTATGCCACAGTATTGGTACTAGTCCTTCAAGTTTTCTTGTTTGAATTCTAATGTCTTATCAATTGGAAGCAAGTTATCGAAGACTGAAAGCAGGGCATCAGGTAATCCTTATGCCAAAGAAACAGTGTACATTTCTTCAGTCATTTTATGTTTGCAGAAGTGTTAATTGAATTAGGCTTGGCAGTTAAGGCACTTAAAAATGACATATTTCAAAATAGCTTCTTTCAGAAATGATTACACATTTTTACATTAAAGTTCCATTTAATGTTAGAATTAATTACTAATCTTGAAGGTTTTTATCTAATGATATATGAAAGCACACAATCCTTTGTTTTGTAAACCATTAAGTGAAGTTGATTAAAAACAGATGTACTGCTTGTGGGGTGGCTTGAATTGATACATGGCTTATACAATTAATGAAAAAAAAAAAGGAAGAATTAAGTGTTTAACAAAGTGAAGGAACAGTATAATGGAGGCCCAACTGCAAAGAGAGTTTAGGATTTGGCTCACAGTTACTCACATGAAGTTCTGTTTCTAGTTGTGCTCAAAACACATTGTTTTTTTAGGGAATCATCAGTCTTAGGAATTTTACTCCTGCCCCTCCATGTGTTTTTACATACAACCAAGGTGTTTTTATCTGGAAACAACATTTTATCTTCCTTTCCAGTCTTAAATTTGGCTACAAGTATTACCTTTTAAAAACTTTACTGTAAAAGTAGCTTTGCCCTGACCACTTCAATTTCCTCACTGTCCATTTCCATAGATACTGCCCTCTGTCTTTCTCACTGACCTCATTATATAGGCAGAAAGGGCAGAAGGATTGGAATTCTCCTTGCCTTACTGATTCTATAACCCTCACAGCAACATCTTCTATTTTGAAGTCTGTTTACAAGACATCCTTATTAATAGAGACTCACATATGTCATCCTCTCTCCCCATCTTAAAAAATTATCTGTATATTTCTATGAAGTGTCTTCATTTCTCTGAGGACTCAAGCACATATTCAACTCACCTCCTTCAATCATGATGGAATTTTTTTTCTTTTTGTGCAGACAAAATTTGGAAGGGTTTGGAGGGAGAATTTAGGCCATATAAAAATTTCCCAGTTAGAACTTCTAAGTTCACTGTTTTGAGGGTGTAATTGTTAAGGTGGGATATTTCATAAAGTAGGTTGAAGTCTAGGAAAAAAATCAAGATCTGTACTCCCTTCAGTGAATTTTTAAAATTTTCCTTCTTTTTGACATTTTTAATTTGCACCAAGAAGCTGGAACAACATCATATGCTTTCAGCTAAGCCAGGAGGGACAAGAAACTTGGGTTTGATAATTTCGTTTCTACCTTTTATTCAGACAGCAGTAGATGATGGGGTTGTACATGGTCGAGCTCATTGCCAGCCAAAAGCTGGCCAGGTAGACCTGCTGGATGTATTTCCACCTATTTAGCTGTTGATAGACTGCAGTGAGGATGAAGTAAATATGATAAGGCAGCCAGCAGATGGCAAATGTCACCACAACAATTATCATCATTTTTACAACCTAAAAAGAAAGAAGGAAAGAGGTCAATTTTGGAAAATTTAGAAGTCTTTAATTAAATATATTTGTTGCAGTAGCTTACTGAAATTATATTTTTCTGCCAATATAGTTAAATACATAGCATGCCTGAGGAATAGTATTAAAAAAGTGGGAGGTAAGCTAGGGACAGCTGCCTTAGATAAGTCTCAAGAAAGCTATGCTGATGTCACCATTCCTTCTTATTTAACCCAAGTGAATGGATGACACTAACTCAAATAGAAACAAATATATATTAATTGGCCTGAAGAAAAGGAGTGTTTAGAAGAATCCAAAGAGCTTAGGGGAGAGAAGAGCAAGGTTTGGCTGTGCTAGCCTGAACAGTAAAATAGCAGAGATATATCTAGAGAAACCGACTGTTAAGTCATGGTGGGGGTAATTTAGGCTGTAAGGGCTATATTTACTATTTACTATTTACTATATTTACTATAGCCTGACTATATAGCTTAAGACTATTCAGATTTCTTTACTCTAATACCATGCTCATGAGGCAACCTTTTGAATGTCAACTTGGTTTCTCTTATAATCTGGTGTTGGGGAAGGTTTCTCTGGACAGTGAGTATGAATATTCACATCAGTCTGAGGAAATATCATTAACTTTAAATTTATAAATAGACAACCAACTGTTTTATACATTAGGTCTTATGAATTTGGTAAGCACGGATTGTTTCCTTGGTTTCCACACCTTTGAAACAAAATATTCTAGAAAGCCCTGGCCAAAGTAACCTATCAACATTTATTTCTCCACCACTGGGCCTTAACTTCCTAAATGGCAGAGAGAATGTCTTGATTATCTTAATATTCTCAGCATCTAGCACAATCGGAAGCATATAGCTGAAGATAAATAATTAGATATGGAATTAGTGAATAATGAATGACAATGTACCATTTAAAATAGTAGGTTGGACGGGAGGATATTTTATGTGTCCCTAAATGAAATAAAATCTGTCCATTGTCTGTGACTATAAGAAAGGTAGACTTAAAGCATCTTGGCTTTGTGTGGAAAAGGAGATAATAATAAAATGATGACCTTATTTAGTATTTTTCACTAGCAATCTGCCTACTAAATTTGTCCATACTTCTTTTGGCAATTTGGAAATAGTAAAATGTTTAGAATGATATATGTTAAATAAAAGAATTTGGGAGCTTATCCCTAGTCTGATCAGCACAGAAATCAGAGAGCGTTCTGACATCAGTGATTTATGAAGCATCTTAGAACTAAGAAAATATGATGTTTATGGACTGGACTCATTGTTTCACTGCAAGTTAAGGATTCAGATGAAAAGTTGGCAAGGTTAAGAGTCAGGAGAGACATGATTCTAGAACAAGGCTAACCATGAAGTGGATCAGTGTGGAAGGCAAAGCTTTCCCAAGAGCCTGATCACTGTACCGTCCAGGTAACTAGTACTAAGCTTCATTAGAGCTGAAGATCTAGGTCAATAGCTCACAGAATGTTATCAGTGGCCATACCACCAAAAGCATTTTTTTTCTCAATGCTCTTTAAACTGATTTTTTTCCCTGAAAAGCTGTATTCAGATTTCTGCATTTATCTCTCCAATTTCTTATTTATATATTTGTGGAATGTAAATAAGAACCACATTTTATTATAATTCACATTTATACAATGCTTCATGTATTTAACAACTGATTAGCTGGTTTTCAATTGTGCTTTAGGAAACTGAGGCAAAGACCAAAAGATTTGACCACTGTGATTCATGAAACAAGGCTGGAGTTTTAAAACTAGGATTCCTAAGTCTTTTTTCTTCCTACTTACATTAATAACATTTATTGAATGTCTCTTGGGTCTAGAAAACAGAATAGAGGAAAATAATGAGTAAAGAACCCATCTCTTATCCTGAAAAAGCTTACAATATAATGAAAACAATATAAATAAAAAATACATGGAAATGTGGTGAATATAAACACGTTTATGAAATTGAAATAATATTTATGAGAACTTACTAGTTTATTATAAGCAAGAATGATTCAGTGCCTGGTAACTAGCCCAGGGACAGAAGACTGAACAAAACAAGTTCTACACTGCCTTTTAATTTCGGCTATACGAACATCATACTACTTCTTAAACATGACAGGCAAGCTCCTGCCCCCAATTATTTGCCCTCCAGAACACTGGTCCCCCAGTTATTCCCACGGGGTACCACCCTCATGCTCTTCTCGCCTTTGCACAGCTGTTACTTTCTCTGTGACTCCCTTCTGACCAAGCCATGTAAGACCGCAGTCTGCCCATTCTTTATTTTCAGTTTGTTATGTTTGTTCTTTACTTTCTGTCTCCTCATGTTGGAATATAAAAGAGCAAGAATTTTCTGCTTGCTTTGTTTTTTGCTGATGGATTCAGGCACATAGATTGGATTTCATACATAATCAGTGCTCAGAAATTTTTTAAAATAAATACATGAAAGTGAATTAAAGAAAAAGAAACTAAGAGTCATATAGGGGGTGAAGTGATGTCTTTGATTTTACTTGGTGATTAATTACTGGTATCATTTGTCCTCCAAGTTTAAAATAGGCATGTATGTATAAAATGAGCTTAATATTTTATTGCTCTTTCATTTTTCTAGGCAAACACATTTAAAAGAGTATGAGTGTACAAATGATATAATCAATATTTTAGGTGCATGAACGCATTAAATTTTATTCTGAATTAATGTTAAGGGCAAAAGAAAAGTCTATATCAGTGTGAACATGGTACAGGCTACTCTGTTAAATATGGTATCAGCAAATATGCGTAAGAGCTTCTTGGAATGCTTTTTTTTGCAGGCTGACCACAAACTCCCTGTGCATGAAGTTGTTTTCCAACAATAGTAATTAAAGACCTACAAAGGCTGTTAGAATCTTTTAAGTGTCTTCCAACCATCAATGTGGAAGAAGTCCATACTGTGGAAAAATTAAAGTGGATGTGAAAAATTAAATTAAATGAAAATGCCTCTGGAATGGAAATTTCAGATAACTTCTAATTCATGGATATAGGGCCTTATGGACCTTGTTATAAAACATTTAGAAACTTATTTCAAAATAAGGAAAAATCTAAGAGACCCTACAAGACCCTAAAAGATTTGAAAATAAGGAAAAATCAAAAGGACTCTAAACGAAAAGATCTTGTACATGATTATAATACACTTCACTTATTTCTATAAAATACATTTTAACTGTTAGTTTCAGTCTCTCCTCACACAATCTTGTGGAATTATTAACGGTATCAAACTTTCGGGACTCCAGCTGTAATGTAAATGCAAAAGTGGGGTCTTTCGGTGGAAGAAATTGCATTGCTTTGTCAAGTGTCAAAAGCAAAACAGCACTTTGAAGCACAAACCTTGAGCAATGATAGATGCGCAAATACTGTGAGCAGCTCGCCTGAGTCTCATGGCTGGACGATGGCACTAGCATATAAATACTAATCAGGAAAGGTGTTCAGTTTGGTAGCCTTCCTGAAAATCCTGAAATTTTTAGGCAAGATAAGAAACCAGGGTAGAGACAATTCAAATCTTTCACCATGTGTTACAACTTGATAGAAACGATCGATTGATGTTGGGTATTTCATAAATCTGAGCTACGTCCCACTTCTGAGGCAATGGGATTTATTTTCCATTTTCCATGGCAACAAGAACAGTCGTGGCTGACCACTGTCCTTGGCACAGAAACTTACGAGCAGGGGAAAGAAGGGAGATGCAACAAGTGATGTAGTTCCTACAGTTCTACTGCCTGTTTTTAGTAGTTAAGGATCCGCTTTACTCACATAGATAGGATTGAAATGCATGACCTGGTAAGTGAAAATAAGCTTTGGGCACCTTTGTGTATCAAAGGGAAAAACAAATCTTTGATTTTTGTAACCTGTACAGATTAGACTGGAATGCCTGCAGCTGTTCTTATCTTTCATGTTAAATTAGTGTAGGAGGGATGATTTGGGGTTTAGGTCATAAAAGAGAAAAAATGTAAGTCTAGGAAATGAAATGGAATAGTGCCAACCATAAAATATGTCTAAGATTATATTCTTCAGTAGAGGACTTATTCTTCCTTAATGTATGAACTGGAACTTTTTAATGCTATGTGACAGGAAGCTTCTTGTTTGGATTAGAACCCCTCAGAAAGTATGTTCTGGAGGACCGTCCCATGGGTCACACCCTACCACTTCACCACACCTTTTGTCTGCACAAACGTTCTTAAATGGACCGTTATATTTCTTTAAGTCAAAATTGCAAACCTGCTTATTTTAACCACACATTAGCAAATTAAAATATATATTCTCCAAAGTAGGTATGGGAAAAATTTCAATAAAAGCATCAAAAGTACCATTTCATGGGCTATTTAGGTTCAGCTTTTGCTGTTGGAGTTATATTCAGTAAGCATAAAAATTTCAGTTTTGAGAAAGAAAATAAGAACCCAGTAATAACAGTTGTGGGGGAAAAAGGCACCATGGTCTAGAAGCCGAGTTGAATTTTGCTAGTGATTTTAGAATTAGGTAAGAATACAGGCGCTGTAAAGACAATTATCATATGATCTCTCTGATATGAGAAATTTGAGAGGCATGGCGGGGGCTTGTGGGCAGTAGGGAAGGAAAAAATGAAACAAGATGGGATCGGGAGGTAGACAAAGCATAAGACTCTTAATCTCACAAAACAAACTGAGGGTTGCTGGGGTGGGAGGGTATGGATAAGGTGGTTGGGTTATGGACATTGGGGAGGGTATGTGCTATGGTGAGTGCTGTGAAGTGTGTAAGCCTGACGATTCACAGACCTGTACTCCTGGGGCAAATAATACATTATATGTTAATAAAAATTAAAAAAAAAAGAATACAGGCGCGCTGTTAGTGTCATCCAAGAAATGTGACACTGGTGCCATCCCCAAGCAATGTGAGAATGTATTTAAGTTAGTGTGGAGTCATGTCTGTAAGAAGTTATGTCAACCCCAAACAAATGAGAATAACCTGTGTGTGTGTGTAGGTTCAAGTG